GAGGTCAGGGACCTTGTGTAATGGCAGAAAACAGTGGCCGGACAGATGAAGGATGTAGCCTACATATTTAATAAACCCAGCTGAAATTTATGTTTAATATGACAGGTTCATGATAGCATCTGGTCACATGTTCAGGACGGCACAGATTTACAGACAGTCTGAGCTGCTAAATTCAGCATAAACCCTCTATCGACTTTCATTCAGTCATTTAGGAGCATCTGGTGGATCCTGTGCATGTGTGACTAACTGCCACATTCTGCTCCCGACTGATCATATAGTCAGCTTGGCTCTGACTTGGACTCTCACGTAACCCCTGACTGACCTAACAGGAAGGCAATCGGGACCATCATATCCCATTTTGCATCACCTGTGTCTTCTCTCAGAAGCTTATGTCTCACGCATTTCATCATATACTGTTAGATGTATTCTCCCTTCTGCTTCCTCCACTTTTAATGTATTGTTTAACTATACATGTTAGGCAATCAGTATTCTTTAAATGGGCTGGTTGTCCATTTCCTTTGAAAGACGAATATACAGATTTGATTTGAAGGAGTACATCGATTGTAAGGAACAAAACATATATAGGTAACAAGCCCCGTCAAGTTTAGGGGACGCTCATGGGTATCCACAGAACCAGTTCAAGGGATCCCTCGTCAAAATGTAGCCAGAACTGGTGTGTTATTAGCCCCCTTTCCGACAAACTATGGCAATTTGGATGTTACCAATGGATGCCTTATGTAGTCCTGTTTTACAAGATACCACCAGCGGCACTGGCTTCCTTCTCCCAGTAATCAAAGCCAGAAGCAAAACTTAGGCCCAATCCCATTTCTACCCCTCACTTGGTATTGAGTGCCCTCGTTTGCGAGATAACCCTTGATGAGGGAAGTGAGAAATATTAGGGTAGAGATCTTTCCCTAAGAAATGTGACACCTCTTCATGCAATTTTGTGTGGCCGATGTGTAGGCATACGTCATGCGTAGTAGTTTCGCATTGAAAATGCTGTTTCCAGCGCTTGTGTTGTGGCGTGTGCTATGTTTATTCTTCTCCGTCTGATGAATCAACGGAGAAGAAATGCTGAAAACAGGAGTCGCCTACGACGTTTTCTAGTTCTGATCGATTTTGTTCGGGTAAGTCGATTTGTTTAAATATTTTGATGCTGTGTTCAACCGAGTTGCTGATGAGTTTACGCTAGTCCAACCATCTGTTGTATGTATAGCCTACATTCCGATCGTACAGTAAGAAATTGTTTTCCAAAACTTGCCGAAGTTGCTGACTTCGCAAGGTGTTTCATCTTCCACTTCGTTGAAAGTGTGGGTCTCGGCTCCCTTGGAATCTAGGGCGGGTTTTAAATGTTGGAAACCACTTCCACTACCTCAATTCTGTTTTGGGACACCAGTAGCCTAAACGTGAACGCGCACAACCAAGTGCAAGTGGGTATTTCTAGGGGAAGTGTGGGTATTGGGACAGGTCCTTAGTCTCCTGCTGGCTGAGTGAACACTAACAGCAATCATGAACTTCCCTGGCATCCTTCAGGTATTTGGGAAATACTAAGCCCCTGCTGACCAGAGCAAAGTGAAGTGAGCATAAGGCTTTAAAAATGAAATATGATAATCTGCCCATGATATTGAACTATATACAGAACAAAGCATGTCTCCTAGTTTGCTGCCACTGAACTTCAATACCTTCTGGAAGAAAGAGTGGAGAGAAATTTGTACGTTTATTGTTTGATTTAGGAGCCAGAAACCTTGTAAATTAGGCTCCCCTGTCTACAAGAACGTGGACTCAATTTGGAAAACATAAATCATTCAGTCAGCTTCTGTGAAACAGCGCGGCTTAATCATTATTCACAAATATGCTAATGTGTATCAGACTGTAAAGATAATGCATCTGTTTTACTTAAGGCCAGAGCTGCTCTCATAACAGCACAATATGTTTATATACGATTTAGCTCAAACTGTTTCATAACAGATGAAGATGTGTGTGCATGCACGTCCGTGCATTTGTCTGCTTGTGTAATAGAGGGAGAATGAGAGAAACCAGTGGACTGAAACATGTAAGGTGTTAAACAAAAGCTCGCACGCCAGCTGGTTCCACAGTCAACACACTGCAGGCCGTTCTCTAATCACATGGCAAGCATGCATTGTATGAAAACACGTGAAGGAATGAACACAAATTTAATAATGTTGTACAGTTTGTGCCCGCATTACAGCAATATTACATCTCAGGGGAGAAGAAGCCCAGTTTTAAATCTAATTAATTAATGAGATACAGTTGGACTGACTCTTTTCCTAATGCAGTATGTCATATTTAAGTTAAGTATGGGCTTACAGGCTTGTTTGACATTCAAGAACAGTGTAGCAAGGGTTGGTAAGTTTGTAAAACAGCCACAGTGATACACCAGTGTGTGCTGTAAAACCTCTCTCTATCACTCTAAGGCACCATTTAGGACACTGGCCACCTGCCAGCGAGGAACTATAGTAATTATGGGCCCCTGTTTAAGAAAACATCAGGAAGATAGATGTAAGCTATCAAGGGAGTTGTGAAGAGTCTGGGGATATGTATAGTGGCTGCAGTTTCGTGACTAACAAGATAGAAGAGAGTCCAAACTGGAGGAGAGGTCAAGGTTGGAGAAATTAATGGAAAACTTTTCAGTGATCAATACAATAATGGGGAACAGCGGTAAGAACGGCAGACTGTATTTACCTGTTTTTTCTTAGTTTATTTCCTCCTAAAGTTAGCATTTGCACTGTTATGTTAATCTTGTACTGTGGAAAAGAAGTAGAAGGATGCTATTTATGAGAAAAAGTAAAGATGTTACATTATAATCTATTCAGAAGCAAAGCAGGGGATGGCTTCTGGGGCTCCAGCGCCGAATGTTTTCTCAAAGGAAATCTGGTATAATTGAGTAAATGTGGTTCTGTTGAGTGTTGAAGACCACGTTCACTTCTTGGGGATCCTTTTTTGTAACAAGAGCAACCCAGACTGTTGTGGCATGGATTCAAGTGTATCAGATTTGTGAGCTAAAGCACGTACTGTGAACAGTGTAGGGTAACAAAAATAGATTTCAAGATTAGTAATGCTGTTTACTCCAGTGTTATGTAACTTAAGAAATAGTAACATCTGACAAGTTCTGCCTCTTTCTAGGTGGCAGGAGTGAAAATTAGTCATGCTCAACATTTGTTGTGTTACGGTGTCAGAATGATGAAGAGAGTTGGAGAACAATTACAAAATAGGATGTAGGCTCTACAGAATCATTGTTTTCCCCTTGGCAACTATCATGTTTTTCCCAAATGATGCACAGATTTTAAAGCATTCCATTACCTCAAATGGCTTGATAAATACTGCATGTAGTTGGGAAGAAAATCTCCCTGACATACCACTGGTCCCCCAAGGTTTGGGCTGAGCATCAGGCTGAGCATCAGGCTCTGCCCCTGAATCTACCGCTCCTAATGTAGTTGAAGCACTTTTTTGGCTGCTTGTTGTGACAGGTATTTAGTTAGGCTAGTCTCCTAAAAACTAAGTTAATCCTTGAGGGGATAGTTTGGATCTTTTGTATTGGGATTGTATAAGGTACATACCCATTGTTAGTATATTACCTAATGTGAAAGTCAATCTGCACCACCCCACTTCGGAGAAGGCGGCTTAAGTGTGACACAGAAGCTGAGTAATGTACTGCTGTGAAGGGGTCAACGACAATAAGTATTTTAGCCGCGTAAAAAAAAGTTGATATCAGTTTAACTGTATGCTACATTTAGAACATTTTCACAGCTTTACCTTAGCATCAGACAAAAAATTCTGGTGGGAAACTAAAGTTGTTATATCCTCTCTTCAAAGCCAAGCTCCACTGAGAAAACAGGGATTTAACATTACTGAACACAGGAGCTGCTGGTCTACCGCTGCCTCAATCAGTTATGCTGTTTGTGATACCTTGTGACATTGGTGTTTTATAGAGTTAGTTCAGATTTAGTAATAAATAAATAAAGTCACATAATAATACAAATTAACTAACTGATCAAGACAGTGGTAGACCAGCAGCTTTTATGTTCAGTGAGCCAAAATGGAGTCTGGTGACTTTGACGCGAGCAAAGACGGGGAACTGAGGTCTGTCTGATGCAAAAAGGTAAAGTGATGAAAACACTACTTTTTAGGTGGGACTTTTTTTAAGTGGCTAAAATATGTTTTGCTGATGCCCCCATCCACAACAGCACTCCTGCCACTTCTCCAAACTAGGGGCACCAACTGGATAAGTACCCCATACAACCCCCACATTGTCAATCTGAACTATCCCTTTAAATAGCCTCCACATAAACCCTCTCCTTGCTTCAAAGGAAAGCCCCAGCTGTGCTCACACAGTCTGAAATGTGGCAGAAATCTTCCTGTGTCAGTCAAACAACCAGGCTGTGATGCTCCACTATTGTCTTCCATCACTAACACCCCTCAGCCTTCACCAGGATTCAAGCTCAGCCATCCAACTAATAAAGACACAGAATTGACAAACCCACATGTAGGATGAGATATGCCTACCACTGAACATAGGGCAACATACTACTCCTGTAAGAGGCACACATGAACACAGAATACATGCAGACGTGTTGAAATGAAGAAGTCGGGGGAGGCTCAGCTTTCTTTGATCAAGCTTTGTGTGTCACAACAACAACAAAAAAAACTGTTTTAATAATGGTAATATTTTTGCTTATGCATACACTGTACAAGATAAAAATGAAATCCTGCCAGTGTCTTCACCAAACAACATTGTATGTGTGTATTATTTACATTTTTTTTTAGTGATGTTGTTTTGTCTTTTTGAATCAGAAAACCTGACAGGTGTCACTGACACAACTCTTAAAATAGATCAACACGCACCTTTCCCACTGAAGGAGAAACTCAAAGTCTGCACGAAGACTGTTGCATAGGAGAGTCACAATCTGTCTTATAATTTCCTGGCCAGAAACCCCCCCCCCCCCCCCCCCCAAAAAAAAAAAAAAACATTTGCAGAAGTGTTGGATCTCATTTTCCTTTTTTTTATTTGCATTATCATACATTAGGTACAAATGACACAATCAATTACAAGGTAAGTAGCTCAGACTCATTTTAAAGGTTTCAGGCTGACAGGGGAAGAAAACAAACATACACCATTTTGCAAAATACAATATATTCTTTCTTTTACAGTCTATGTAGATATCTACTGTAAGTCATTTATGTACAAGGACAGGGGTGCTGAGAGAATAAATGAACAAAGAGAGGCGAGTTAGAGACCATGTTACTGTATGGGTTACGGGATAAGGCTATTCTGCACATTGTTGATCCTGTGCTCTGGTACGGCCAAAAAGATGGCAGCTCACCTCAACTCTCTCATTACACAGTGGACAGGACACAGCGGAGAGTGATGACTGACTACGAAGGATAGACGTTACACAAGATTTATCTAAAGCAAACCTGAAAGGAGTACTGTACGAAATGCCAATCAAAAAAAACCCTCTTTCTTAAAACCTTCCATTTAAAATAAAACATAATCAGACAGTTACTTCATCATCTTCTGGACATCCTGATCAGTTAAAAACAAAAAGGTAAGGACATCAAACAGAATGTAAACAAAGTAAAACTCTTTTCCCATGGGGCACTGGGGGGACTCAGTAGAGAAAAGGAAAAGGTGGAATTGATGCCAACTGTGTAAATCGCACGAGAAAAATCAACCGCTTTCCTGACCTGACGGGATTTAAAGGGTGAAAAGGACGAGCGTGCTGTCGATAAGATGATGGATTGACTTGGCCCAGGCACTGAGGAAGGAGGAACAGGTGGAGTGAAAGAGGGGCGTACAAGAGACGACGAGGGAGGGGCGGTTCGATGTGACGAGGCACAGGGGTCGTCCTTCAAACAAGCCATCATCATCATCTATCTTTTCGTTCATTTAACTATAAACCCCATCAATCACCCATCCATTGTTCCTTCACTCCCCGAAGATCATCAATTGATATTGTCGATACAGATATTAATTAACTCACTACATCATTCAGTCATTAATAGGCACAGGGAGGTAAAGGTGAAGCAAGCAGACACGGGAGGATAAGTCAAGTTGTGACTGTAAAGGTTACTGGCGTCAGACAAAAAAAAGTTCTTAGTTTGTGATGTACTGACCAGATGATGGAGCATTTGTGTGAACAAAGCGTGCAGAACGTTTTTATTTTAACATTTATTCACATTCATTCATTTGTAAGATGTGCTGAAACACTGAAAAATGAAGTATAAACAGAATGAATTGACTTTGACAATGGATTTAAAGACACAGAAAGTGGTGTAAAGGTATGAAGTAAACACGGAGTAGAAAGTTTAGATCAGAGCTGGATTATGGAGATTAAGAACACGATGTACAGTATATCTGTTCAAGTTGGGAAAGGCACACAAGGGGAGAGTAAGTAATCTTTTTTTCATGCCCACACTGACTGTGACGTTTTGAAAACATTATTAAGAAGAAAGAAGTTTGGGAAGCAAGTAATCAGAGATTCTATTAAAGGGATGGATCTATTAAGTCAGCACATACAGAGGTGCAAGTGAGGCTCGGACGAGGGCAAGAGTGTTGCTGAGTAAACTCTAAGTATGTACAAGGAATATTTTCTCTCACTTCTGTGGAATTCACTGTAGGTGTTAAATCAAAATGCTCCACAAGTTGAAATGTTATTTTTTTCCCGGACACAACTCTGCCCAAGGCTACACAGGCAGGAAAATCTAGTGCCGTATATGATGAGTCGTTTATCAAACTGACTGGCATCGTAAAGCGTACTGACACAATGTGCACTGGTATACTCATGGCAGCATGCTATATGGTTTGTGGCCAACAGAGTGTACAGCAGGTGTGGCTTCAGGCAGGTCTCGACCCACGCTGGGAGAAGCTGCCACAAAGAAGAAGTCATCCATGTGACTACAGCTAGTGCAACGCTGCTATTGTCGGGTTCTGGCATTTTCCAGGTTTGGCACATGCAAAAGGTTATATACTATAGGAAACACGGCAGGAGAGAGCACATTTCTTAGAAAAACATGGAGAAAACCGTACAAACGCTTCAACAGTTCCTATATCAGTCAGATATGTGTTTTCTAATGTGATATATCCTTTGAAACATTCCTGAATTTCTGAGCAGAAGCTAGAGAAACAGAACTGACAACACTGACAGCAACTTACAACAGCAAAAGCATAAGAAACAAAAGTTTTACAAAGTGACAAAAACACAACATTAAGATTACAACATAAACCCCATTCATGAGACACTAAAGAGCGAGTGGTCCCACTGGTCTAGCAACTAGCAGTGCGTCTCAGTCACAACTGACCACAGATCTGGATTCAGTGTTCCACATCGCCCTAAAAGGGTAAAGGCAAAAGGAACCAGGGGCCATATATATATATATATATCAAGCTTCTACAGGAAAGAGCACTGATCTAAAACCAGGGACTATGTCTCAGGAAAGTCTTTTAAAAATTGTTTTAGTATCTATTTAGATTAATAAACTAAACGTCTACTCTATGTTCTTTAGCCCCTGTGATCTGCATTCTTTTGGCAAAAATCACTTGTTCCTCGCTCTTACTTTCACAAATAGTTTACAAATCTGCCTGAGCAAGGTGTTTCATTACTGTAGCAGGACTGTGTCATTGAAACTTTACTTGTGATTGGTATGCAGTATAGTTACAAAATCCTGCAATCACCTCTCAAAGAGTCTAGCTGGTCTAAGATCAGCACTCTTAAAGGGTGACATCAGCATTTTTCAACCTGGGACCTGTTTTCCCATGTTTTTGTGCTGAAGTGATTGATGTGAATATTAATTTTTTAAATTGGTCCAGTATTAATAAAGAGGGCTGCAGTCAGCAGCCGTGCAATGCACACAATGTTACCAGATGGGGCAATTGTGCACCATTATTGTACATCCTTTAAAAGAGGTTATTTTTGCCACAGACAGACTCAGATTGTCATTGTAAGTGTCTGAAGTGTCTCTTAGCCTTTGGCTTGATCTGGTCTGTTTGTGAATGTGTTTAAGTCTTACTCAAGGAAAAGTATTGTTCTGAAATCTCATGAGATGTGACTTGTTGCAGGAAGAAAACATTAGAAACGCAACATCGAAAATCTTTTGAATAAAACACTGAGCTACCTTTTCTGTACTTGTACTCTTGTCTTCCTGCAACAACTCATGTCTTGTAAGATTTCAGAGCGAGACTGCTTCTTGAGCAAGACTTAAGACACAATAACAAACAGACCAGATCAAGACAAAGGTAAAGAGACACTTCAGACATTTACAAAAACAATCTGAGCCTGTCTGTGGCAAAAATAAACACTTTACTGGACGATAATTGTCCCACCTGGTTACACTGTGGGCATGGTACTCTCTTAATGCAGGACCAAATTCAAAAGTCCTTGTTTGCATCAGCCACTTAGAAACAAAAGCATGGAAAAATAGGTTCCAGGTTGAAAAATGCCAACGTTATCCTTTAAGGTACCGGACTGTGGTGTGTACTAGCCATGTTAAATTTAGCCGGTATAGCGCTATGGTTACAGTTATAGTCCACCTTAAATCTGTGTTTTTGGTGTCATTAACCTCCCATATAGGTTTGTCCAGGCCTGCAAGCTGAAGGTGGGTTTGTTTGTCTAGGTGAAGACTGAGATGGATATTTTCATATAAAAAAAAAAAATACATTTGAAATCAAACTTTAATGTTTTGACACCTTTTTTTTTTTTTTTTTTTTTTTTGAAAACTTTCAGTAAAAATCTGTCATTATTTTAATCCATTTAAAGTCAACCATGAATCTAAGCTAACCATGGGCATTATTCTTCAAGAAGGACAAAACCGGTACAAACTTCCAAGACCACAAGGGGTGACTTTTACCACTAAAGTTTGATTTTGAGTGGAGTATCACTCTGAGGTCGTACTGTAACTCGTTTATAATTACTAGCATGCAGCCTTTAGCGGATCACGTGCATGAATGATGCCTACCAACAGCATGCAGATACAGCGGGACAGTCAACAGCCAGACACGCATCCAATCAACACACAATTTGCAGTCATTGAATATGAATAAAGAAAATAAAAGCTTTGATAAATCTGCCAAAACAAGTAGAACAGATATATTTCACAACTTGCTCACTCTGGACTCTTAAAGACATCCAGCTGTTACAAAGTTGATCTGCACTGGGTTACTTTCGTCATTGTTTAATTTTTTTTTTCTTTTTTACACATACAAATATTGGTTTTATATAATTAATGTAATAAAAGCACATTCAGGTGTTGGTATAAAAACTGTAACTTGCTATACTCTTTTTAAATAACTCATGATTATTTACAAAGGAGTTATGCACTGATAGTAGATGCATTAAAATATCAATCTGATCTAATGAAAAAATATGTATGAGATCACAAAAGAAGAGGAGATTAAAAACTAATCTATTTTTAAAGACATTAAAGAAATTAAAAGGGGTGAGAAAATAAGTGATTTAACTCAGAATTACTGTGTTGACAGACTCCTAATGAGGGATGTATTAGTTTTTAGGACAACAAAGCATTGGCAGAAGAATTGCTTCTACTGGTTTGCAACTTCTCCATCTAAGAAAACTAAGGGCATGATATTGTATGCAGTATAACATTGGATGGTTAATACACAATGACATCATGTTATATTCCAAAAAAAAAAACAGTTTATCAAAATGTATATGTGTGTTTTTGTTGAGACATTTATGACTAATGGGAGGATTTGTAGTTCTGGGTGTATCATGGGACAGAGACAGTGGTTCACACTGACTAATGTTAAAACATGACAAACTGTAAACGTTTGATTTTTTTTTAAGTTTCATTTTTAACTGAAGGAAGATATAAGAATGTCCTACCACTGCCCACATACTAAACTGATAACTGTGTGTCCACATAGTGTCCACAAAATTATTGACAAGAGAAGTATACAATCTGCAGCTTCAGTAAGGGCCAGAAAATTGGTGTGTGAATTATAACTGTTAGGGCTGGGCAATATATTGATATTATATCAATGTCATGATATGAGACTAGATATCATCAGATTTTGGATACCGTATCGTAAGTGTTGTCTTTTCCTGGTTTTAAAGGCTGCATTACAGTAAAGTGATGCCATCTTCTGAACTGACCAGACCATTCTAGCTGTTTGCTTTTATTCACTTAGCCATTATACCCACATTACTTATGATATTCATCAAAAATCTCATTGTGTAAATATTTTGGGAAATCTGTCCAGGTCCACATCTTTGAAGCAGCCCACTTTACCGAGTTTAAATTGACTGATTCGTCTGGTATCGTGACATGAGACATCAGTTTCTCGGTTAATATAAAAAACAATCAATGTGTGCAGTGGGAGGACTCGATTAGCCAATTAGCACCATAGGTGGGGCTAACTCGCTGTCAAGCTGCTGTTAAGCATTGTCAAGTGGTGCTCCAGAACTACGAAGGCTACAGACAAGATAGACACTGCTATTGACGCTACTCTAAATTGGCTGTCTTCTCAATATCACCTGATATTGTAGTTTTCTTTCCTTTACTTTGCTCTCAAAACCCTGGCAAAACAGGTATGTTGGCATGGCTACACATCAGTGTGGACTTAAAATGATGTAATACTCAGATTGATATATTGCCTCGAGTGATTGGTGAGGGAAAATCGTATCTCCCTCCCCCACAGAAATCAGTTAAATGTCAGACTGAAGATGGAAACAGAGTTTAATCAGCTGACAATTCTGTCTGGTGTCAGGCAACCTTACAACATTGTCGTAATATCGTTATCAAAGTATTTGGTCAAAAATATCATGACAAGTGATTTTCTCCATATTGCCCAGCCCTGAAAGTAGGTAAAATAGGGTAATAACTGTTAAGCTAACAAGCTAAGTTTTGATAGATTGGAATCAAACCTGATGCACTTTCATACCTATGTGTCTCACATATTTGCATTTTTACAGGCTGCATATTTTCTATAATTACACAACTGTTCAATCTTGAGTTGATTTGCTACGCACACTGGAAGTTGAGACTGGCTAGAATCATATTTGACTTAAAGAGAATTGTATACCTTCACCGTGAAATCAACAGGGGAAACAAACTGTAAACATGATACAGGAAACATTGAATTACAAGGTGCTGTTTCAGCGCCTGCACTGCCTGTCCTTCATATTTGGCTGTAGTCTACGCTGCCTTATGTGAGTGGTTCTGAGGTCATCACATTATATCTACGGTATACTGGAAACAAACTGTGACCCATCAACTAGATATGTAGACCATAATGTTTATCTTTTCCAGGATCATACGTCTTTAATATTCTCTTGCTTATATTATATACAGCCATTATTCTCTAAATGTCATCATATAGTGGCATAGATAACTAAAGCCTGACACCCTTCTGTCTCGGTGCCTCCAATTATGGAAAACCTTCAATACTAATTGCCGCGATAAGGAAGGGCATCCTTGTCTACAGTACATGCTCATCATTAAACTAAAGGAAATCATTTCTTTTGATGGCTGAGGATCTAATCTATATAATGTATACTGGCAAATATATTGTACAGAACAATTATGCATGCCCTACAATGCTGCTTGCGAATAAATCCAATACATAAAGGTTTACAGTGGGCCTTGATCAAGTTGTGGTCAGATGTTAGGTTGACGGTTGCTTTACGTGGGTGGCAGTGAACAGGGAGGTTCTTCTGGGACGCTTCCCCATCCTTCTCATACGCTGTTTATAAGCGACGGGTGTATAAACTGTGGGTTGATGAAAGAGAACCCTGCAAACTCGGCCTGGTCGATGTTGGCGATAACCAGCTCATCTGGCGGTGTGAGCTGGGGCTGGGTGCGTGTAAAGAACTTGTCAAAGTTCTCTGCTCCTTTGCCACACTGTAGAAAAGAGAGACAGGAGAAGGAAAAGTTAGACATAAGGTATGTAAAAATAACATGAGAAGTGCAAGCAGACCGACAAAACAGAACACACACGAAAAAACTGGAGCGCTGGCAGAAGTTTGTGTGCGCATGGCAATTCTGTGAAGGCAAGAGACGTTCAGCAGTTTTCAACTTCTTGGAACTTTTGACAAATCAGCCCAAAGCACAGGACACGCATTATCATTAAACATCATTAAACAGCCACCATACATCCTTTGTATGGTGGCTCTGACAGTCAAAACACAACCACATTTCAGAAAACACAACAGCATTTCAAAAACAAAAACAAGATTTCACGAAACACAACCACATTTCAGAAAGCACAGTCACATTTCAAAAAACAATACATTTCACAAAACACATTTTACAAAACAGCATTTCTCAAAACAAAGTTGAATTTTCACAAAATACTACATGATTTGTGAGATGTAATGTTTTCTGAAATGTTGCTGTGTTTTGTGAAATTTGATTGTGTTTTATGAAAAATTTTGTTTTCTGAAATGTTTTTCTAAAATGTTTTGGTTTTGTAAAATGTGTTTTCTGAAAAGTTGTTGAGTGACGTGTGATTGTGTTTTGTGGAATGTGGTTGTGTTTTGTAAAATGTAATTTTGTTTTCTGAAATGTGCCTTGTGAAATGTTGTTTTCTGAAATGCATTTCCTGTAATGTGTTTTCTGAAATGTGTTTTGTAAAATGTAGCTTTGTTTTCCAAAATGCTGTTGTGTTTTCTACAATGTTGTATTTTGTGAAATGTGGTTGTTTTATGGAAAATTCTGTTTTCTGAAATATGTTTCCTGTAATTGTTCTCTGAAATGTTGTTTTCTGAAATTTTGTTTTTTTCTGAGATTTGTTTTCTGTAATGTGTTTTCTGAAATATTGTTGTGTTTTATGAAAGTGACTGTGTTTTGTGAATTTTTTGTTTTGTGAAAAGTGGTTGTGTTTTGTGAAATATGTTTGTGCTTTCTGAATATTGTTGTGTTTTCTGAAACAATGTTTTTTGAAAAGTTGTTTTCTGAAATTTTGTTGTGTTTTGTGAAATGTTGTTGTGTTTTGTGAAATGTCGCTGTGTTTTGACCCCAGGACCACCCTTTCATTGTCATCACCAATGACATTGCTAAATGAAATCACACTGGGCTGTGCAACTAGACAATGTGCATGGACAGTTACAACAAGCAACATTTGTGATTGTTCCCACATCAACCTGTTGTCTAATCAAACTGCATCTTCACCTGCCCCCCTGACCTACATAAAACACCTGATCCCCCACTTTCCCCACTGCTACATGCAGTAGGAGCCCAACAAGATTACATGCTCTACATCTCATTCACCTGAATCACAATGCACCCTTCTGAATACCAAAGCAACACTGACACAGCTGTGGAACAGCAATGCAGTTTCCAGTAAACAAAGGCCCAGGATTGATTCTATGGGGGAAATGGTGTCAGGACCTCTGCAAAGAAGCACATTGTGTTTGGTCTGACCTCATAACCTGCTGTGATGCAGCTTCTTTATCTTGGCTCAGAGGTTATTTGTACGCACTTTTTGTGCTGTTGACTCTCAAAGCTCATTATCATACAGAAGAAGGACATGATTCCTTGAACAAAAATAGCAACAGCATCAAGATGCATCAGGCTCACAAAAGGGTTAATTAGCGTGTTCATAAGAGGAAGGTAACCTGTCAGTGTTGAACAGGCGACATCAAAAGAGTTTTCATGTTTGTGTGATGAGAGAATAATCAAATGAAATCAAAGACATGGAAACACATCATGTCAAATGGTGGATGAATTAGCACTTAAGAGAATTTCTCAGCAAAGGAAGATCATGTGCATGTTCGTGGATGCGCATCTCAATTTGTTGCTCTAATGATATTCCCCCTGACTGAGGCAAATCGAACTTGACATGTAGCTTTAAAGATAAAAAGAAATGCTTTTAAGTGTTGTTTGAATAGTGAGTAATTAAATTGTGTTAGTACTGCAGGTGCAAATTTCTGTGACAGTAAAGTAAAGGTGCAATTTTGAAGATTACTGAGATTTGCATTTACATTACTTATGTGCTCAGACCAGAGCAGAAGTACATATTGCACGGCTCAGTCACTTCCTATGATGCACACACAACCAGTTCCTGTTAAAAAAACCACACCAATGTCTGTATTATAGGCTTTCCGTCTAATAACCATTTCCATCATGACTAGAGGACCAGAGAACATGCAAACCAACTGTTTGATCTCTCTCCAAGATAATCTTGTTTATGGTGCTGTATATTTGCATGCAGTGATGCAGTTGCCAGTCGGTATCCTCTTTGGATAAGCTTTTATAGAGAATCTGCTCAGGAGGTGTACTCTCTAAAACAAGATTGCAAGCATGCCTTGGTACCTACCATTCTTTTAAAAACAAACAGGATGACTTCATTAATATGATCATGATGTATGTCAGCCCCAACCACACCTAGCACTAGTGTGTCATCAAATCTAAACCTGCATTAGCACTGTACTTTTAACTTATGGCCACAAACTTCTAAAAATCAGTCAATCTGGACTTTGCACTCTCTCTTGGGGACAGAAAACTTTAAAGAAGACTTATTGTCCTTACTTTTTTTAGGTTCATATTTGTATTTCGGGTTTATACATAAACATGTTTACATGCTGTAATGGTCCCAAACAACTTTATTTCCCTCCTACTATCTTCATCACCCTCTGTCGCCCCCCAACAGTCAGTCTTCTGTATCACTGCATTCCTCCACCGTCACTGCAGCTGGGAAAATGACTGTAATAGAGAAAAGTATCACTTTCTGGGGTCTGCCCATTGGTCCGACAGCTTATTATTCCGACAACCCATTGGTCCGACATCCCATTGTTCCGACCATATTAAACCCATTGTTCTGAAGTCCCGTTGTTCCGAAATCATCATGATGCCCTGTGGTTAAGGTCTGGTTAAGTTTAGGCACAAAAATCACTTGGTTAGGGTCAGGAAAAGATCATGGTGTGGGTTAAAATGAAAAAGAAAGTGGCAAACACATAAGCCGTGAGCCTGCTCCGCCTCAAGCCTTTCCCAGCTGACCCAGAGCCGGTCGCGGCGCACCATCAAGGTAGAAATACGCCCGCCAGGAGCCGTTCAGCACCGCGACGAGCTCCCTACACAACCCAGACCCCAGAGTTAATAACAGGAGGTTATGGTGTTTCATTCTCTCCTCTCTATGACACTTGTATCTCGACCAGTAGCCTACTTTTGTTGCGTTTGCTGATCCTCTTTGGTACACAAATACAGTATAGCCTAGTATAATCACATATCGGAACAATGGGACGTCGGACTAATGGGATGTCGGACCAATGGGCTGTCGGACCAATGACATGCGCCCCACTTTCTACCATGAAAAGTCAACAACAAAAGCTTCAGATCACAACCAGACATGTTTCAGCAGGTATATGATCCAAAATCATGGCGAAAGGAACAACATCAGGGACCAAGACAACATTTCCCTGATGTTAGCATGTAGCTAACATGTAGCAGTGTAGGCTATGTAATGTAAACACTAGCAGTAAAATGCCTGGACTAGATGACCATATAAAGAAATCTGCCACAAGTTGATGTCAGCTTGTCTCGGAAGTGGAATGAAAACATTGGAAACAGAGTATTCAGAATGGTCTGAAGGTTGGTCTGAGGTTTTTGCTCACAGGGATTACTTTTACATACATTTACCTCATTATTTAAAACTTTTGGCAGGTTTAAATGAAAATCTGACATTGTAACATTGTATATATGACCAAAAATAAGGAAACCCTCATTTGGTTCCTTCTAAGTAGCAATACTTAATGTTCACTTTACACATTTGAGGGCGTGTTATGCAATGGCATCAACATAAAATTGCTGCAAATTATCATCTAGATGTGGTGTGTTACACCAGTGACTCTCCCCCTTAGTCTACAACTGGCTAACCTACAAAAAACATTATGCAAGTGTCCTCCATGAATCAAATCAACTTGTAATATGTCATTAGGGAACAGCAGATAAAGTACTTCTTTTAAGTTATTCTACTGTCTTAACTGCAGAAGGACTGAGAAGAAATGGAGCAGTGGAAAAGACAAAGAGCAAGCCCATAAAAAAGACAGTGGGGCTGTACATATCATCTTTCTCTGTCCTCATCAGTGAGTCCACCTACACACTGGGCTCACCTAAGTGGATGCATGCATTTGCAAAACACATATATCCAAATACGCACACACGCATACTTTATCCTAAGACCCAGTGCACAATCTTAACATTCATGTTCCCTTTCTGAGCCACTGTTCTGCAGCTGGCTGTCAGAACAACCGACTCTGTGAAGCCAAATGCCACGGGGCTCTGATACAGGGCTTGAATAGAAAGAGAGCAGGATGGCAACCATAGCACCTTTGGCACTGTTGCCATAGAAATAAACACTGGTGCATTAAACTCAAAATGTTGCTGTGACTGCTGAGACAATATTTCGCCAAACATGAAGTTTCACTGAAGTTTCAGGTTATATAAGCACAAAGTATAAAGCATTGAAAAGTAAGATATTGAAAACACAGCTTTTAGTTTTAATGTTTCTCTGTGATTTACCCTCTCTGTCTAATTGCCTAATGCTCACTCTAGAAACACATACAAGACTTAAAGGTTTATAAGTTTCCATTTTCCGACAATGACACTGGTGAATCTGTATACCCTTCTTTCGTCAAAAGCATTTTAAAAAACCATCTTACCAATTTAGATACATTACCATGTGGGAGGTTTCTCGCTGAGCTTATTTGCTTGATATTTTCAGCTAATTGGTGATTTTTGCTCACATAAAACTGATGACAGAATATTAACGCCGATTAAACTTTTTCATGAAAGGAGAGATTTATTGTCATTTATTTAGCCAAGTTTGACTTCTGCTTCAACCATCATGTTTACTTCTTCAAAACAACCCAGCAGATATCACTCTCCAACATCTGTCCCTCTTC